TGAACCTGCCTATGCGCCTGTTCAGACTTCTGTATCTTCAGCCTGATGGAAGAGGTTGTAGGAGGTCATTACTAGGGTGGGATGGGTCTTTGACGATGTTGGCCGCCTTTCTACGGCAGCGAGCCATGTAAATGGAGTCCATTATTGGAAGGTTGGCTTCTGTGATGGTCTGGGCTGTGCACACCACCTTCTGTAGTTTCTTATGGTTCTGTGCAGAGCAGTTGCCATACCAGGCCATTATGCACCCAGACAGTATGCTTTCAATGGTGTAACTGTACAAGTTGGTAAGGGACATGCCAAGTTTGGACATGCCAAATTTCCTGAGTGGCCTGAGGAAGAAGAGACGTTGTTGTGCCTTCTTGACTGTCGCATTTACATGGGAAATCCAGGACAGGTCGTCAGTTATCATCACTCTGAGGAACTTGATGCTCTTCACTCCCTCAACCTCAGTTCCGTTGATGTAGGTGGGGGTTTGTTCTCCTCTGGTTTTTCTGGGACAGTGGGTCAGATTGCATTTAAAATAATACAGAGAAATTCTATTTAAATGGAGGCAGGCAGTATATATAAACACCATCACTGCCAACCCACCTCCTCAGTGTGGATGAGTCACTCTCTCCCCTCCCTTGCCCACCCACTGCCTACCTTTATTACAACTAGAAGTGGGCAGATTGGAAATGTTAAAAATTTTGCACCCAGATCCTCTCCTTCCTGGTGATTTAAGACAGCATTGGAGAGTGTTTTTGAATAGCAATGGTGTATAGGGATATGGGGAAAAGGCAGGAAATTGGCACTAGGTAATAATGCAGACACTATGGCCTCCTTCTGCACCGTAATAATTCTGTGATTAAATTACTGCAGAGAATCAGGCAGGAAAATGGGATGGCTCTCAAAAATAGGCAATGGGCATATGGCGTGTGATTAACCACTGCTTGTTCCATTGCTTCATCCTCACATCCAGCCGGCACCAATCATGCTGACCATTGGTTGGATTCCTTATCAGGGTGGACAATATCATGAATGATTAGTGTTACTTAAAGCTATCAAACACTTTCAGTGAGCCTGCACCTCCTGAAGGGGAGATGCATTATGGTTGGAGCAGATAATGGTGCTTTTGTCTGAAAAGAGTCTGCCTTTTGAAACAATAGGAAAACCGGAGCAAGAATCTGCTCTAAGATTTCCAGCTGCTGTACTGGGAGGCATAGGTGAAGAAGTGGAAAGGAGGGAAGTTGACCTGTATCCACAGTGGGCCAGGAGGCTTTCCAGACATATAGTCAAAAGGTACAAATAACAAAAAACTGTGGAGGAGAATATCAGAAGTCAAACCCTGATGACCTAGGTTCACTGCTGTGGGAAGTTCAATGACCTGATGGTCAAGGTCTGTGAATGCGTCTTCAAGTGCTGTCCAATATCCTGTCATCTACGCCAGTAGTCTCACACGCTGCTCAAGTTATCAGACATCCATCACTCACTTACCAACCAACTCCATCAATTAGGACTCATACCTAACATCCAGACACTTCAACTCATCCTCATGCCCACAGCTGGCATACACCACCAGCTATTCAGCAATGACAACCACCTCACACAGACAGGTTACAACTCACTCACTTACACACTTGCCTATATTTTGCAAGACAAGCTGACACACAACCACAGGATACAGAAACTAGCAGGACTAGGATCCATTCCCATAACCCCGTAGAGGAGACGTAGCAACCATTAATGAAAAACAGAGGCCTTAATCAGTGGCACTGTTGAAATTATTGAAGATGGCTGTGTCGTTATACTTATTTCTCATCCCACATCATGTTTCCCTTTCATCCCACAATCTCTCTTAACTTACAAGCTGGACACAGATTTAAACTTTACCCTTTCCCTTTAACCTTGCCATTGTGCCAGACGTACATGAGTTGCAAACCTGTTCAGGCAGTAGAAGAACACCAAGAATAATAAAGACATAGCACCGCCAAATGATTCTACATTCACAGTCCCCAGTTCAGATACTGACAGCACATACACCCAAGCAGATAGGTTACAGGTGCATGTTAAGGCACTTGCCTTTAGGCAAGTCAGTAGAGACAAGGATAGTTGAAGTGTCAGCAAGCTGGAGGATGAAGTTTAATACATGATCCACTTCTTCAGATTCGGTAAGGTCTTTGATGGGACATCACGCAGAAGAATGTCGATGATCATGCACAACAAACTGTTTAGACTCCAATTTAAGATATTGGAGAGCATGGCACAAAGCCTGTGGCCAAAGCCAAGAAACAAGAAGAAACCCAGCACCAATTGGAAACATTGTGCAGACCTTGCTGCCCATCCTGCCCTGCAAGGAAGTAGTGGTTACCTCTTTTTGAACATTTATGGACCCAACGTTTTTTTTTCTTTATTTTTTTCTTTATTCATTCATGGGATGAGGGCATCGCTGGCTAGGCAGCATTTATTGCCCATCCCTAACTGCCCTCAGGGCAGTTAAGAGTCTGATGCAGTGTCTGATGGGCACCAGTGCAGCTTCCATTGTCACACAGGCATCAGACATCCAAAGTCTAAATCTCAGCTAGAGGGTGATGGGTCTATGGAGCTCATTGCTATGGAAGAGGGTAGAGGCCAAGTCATTGAGTCTCTTTAGGACAGAGATAAATAGATACATAAGAGGATCAAAGGTTATGGAGAGAAGGCAGAAGAATGCGGTTAAGAAACGTAACAGCCATGATTGAATGATGCAGAATTGACGCAGTGCCCACTAACTTACACAGTCAATGGCATGTGGCATCGCAGGAAAGCCTGCAATTCCAGCAAAACTGAATACTCTCAAATCTTTCTTGTCTTTTCCGAAAAAAAGGAAATGTAGTTAATTCACTTTATAATCCTGCAACACAGCAATGCAAGCTTTAAGATGTTGCAATATCTTTACTCAGTCCGGGAAGGAATCTGACACATAAATGATCAGAGCCTTAGTCACCTTTGCAGTCATTGGTAATGTTGTGGTAATGACCTCCTCCAAGATTGTGGCTGCAGCATCGAGGAGAATTGCTGCCTCTAGACCCTGGGCAGTTCTGAGAGCAATTCTCTTCATCCTCCTTCTCCCTCTTTTAGAAGTTTGTCATGTCCTGCATAGCCTTTGTTCATTTTCAAACTCTTAGTATATTCCTACTACTACACTGAAATCACAGTTTGGGAGTAATTGGTTTGTTTAGAAGCCATGAAAACAGCACAATGTCTTTCAGCATCTATTATACCACTCATGATAGACTTTTGCTACCGGAAGCAACTACAGAAAACACCAGCTCCTTTCAGTCATAGCAGTAGCCTATAGCAATCAATCAGCAGTTCACCTATAAGTCCAACAGCAAAGTGTTGTGGATGCTAGAAATCTGAAATAGAAACAGAAAATAATGGAGTAATTCAGCAGGTCTTTCAGCATTTGTGGTGAAAGAAACATTTCACTTCATCAATAGTTGTGATTCAAAAAAACTCCAAAAAAGGCACTGTTGGCATTAAATCAATGTCACAGAGTGAGTAGTATCATGATCTGGTGCTCTGCATGTTTCTGGTTGACAATCACTGTGCTCATTTGCATCAATATGGCATGTAGCAAGCTTCATCAAGAACATTGGGACAGGCTTTTGAGCCTGATCATGGCTGGTCATCCACTGTATTGCCTATTTCTGACACTGTCTCCAGGTCCCTTTATGTTCTTGGTCTTTGGAAATTTGTCAATCTCTGTTTTAGACATACTTAATGTCAAAGCTTCCAGAGCCCTCTGGGGTACAGAGTTCCAAAGTTTCAGAATCCGCTGAGTAAAAAGAAATTCTCCCCATCTCAGTTCTAAGTGGTTTCTCCCTTGTTTTGGAATTATGTCCCCTGGACTCCCTTCCCTTGTCTATCCCTTTAAGTATTTTGTGAGTTTCAACAAGATCATTTCTCATTTGCAGGTTTCAACAAGACCATTTCTCATTCTTCAAAACTAGAGTGTACAGGTCCAGGCTCCCTAATCATTCTTCACAGGACAGTTCTGCTATCCCAGTAACAAGTCTGGAAAACCATCATTGCACTCTGTCTGTGGCAATAATATCATTCCTAAGGAAAGGCTCCAAAACTGCACCCAGCACTCCATGTGGTCTAACCAAGATTCCATACAATTGAAGCAGAATGCCTCTATTCCTGTACTAAAATTCCCTTGCGATAAAGGCTAACAATCCATTAGCCTTCCTAATTGCTTGCAGCATCTGCGTATTAGCCTTCAATGACTTAATGACGAGAATGCCCAGTTTCCCTCATACATTTGTGCAAGTAATGCATGTGCATTGTGGATAGCATGTTGACGCATAAGGGCATCCATAAAACAGGTGCCAATGAGCTCAGTTTCTTGTCCATTGATGCCTACAACACAGAAAATGACCACTTAGTCCATTGTTCCTGTGTCAGATCTCTTAAGGGGCTATCAAATCCCACTGTCCTCCTTTTCATCTCTTCAAGTATTTTTGCAATACTGTAAAGAAATTGATTAAGCAATTACATGATGATTTAAATTAGATTTAATCTGAAAGTAATTGAACTATTCCAATAGGACCTCTATTCCGATAATTGTATGTTCAGAATGAAAACTAATGTAGTGGCAGCTGCATTTTCGTTTTGCACAGATAAAATTTTGAAAATTGAAATGTGTCTATTGAACAATGAACACCACTGTTCCTAAACAGATTATGTAAAATTTCAAACCATATGGTGGCAGTGTACTACAGACAATCATCTACAATAACTGGTGGCTTCCCTACATGAAGTCTGAAGCTGCTTTCGGAGGGAACTTCTGCAAATATTCTTTTCACCAGCTCACATTAAAGCTGCAAGAATCAATATTAATTTCTAGTAAATGTTGCTATTAAGGCTGTTTGCTTCCCCTTGGGGGGCTGAAAGCCCAGCTAATTTGTTGACTGCCTTAAGTCCTTCATCACCATACGCTCAGTGGTTATTTTAAGAGAGGCACTCTATCTCGAGTAATGCGTTTAAAAGACAGAGACACCGCTGCAATTGACATTCCCCTTCGATTGCCTACTGCAAATAAGATGTCTGCTCCAGAGCAAAATCCTGCTGCAAAATGCAAATTTTGGAGTCTCAAAGTTCTGCATGCCATTATTCCTCATTTATTCTTGGTCTTCCTCTTGGTAATGTATGCTGTTTTTGGAGCGTTTCTGTTTGAGCAGTTGGAAAGCACCAATAAATCAGCAGAGAAGTATGACATTTTTTTGAATGAGCTGTGGGAAATTGCCAACCGAACTCATGATAAAGAAGGTATGCTGAATTTACCTTAGGTTAACTTGACTTTCAATTGTTTGAATAATTGCTTTTCGCGTGGTATTTTAATAAATCCTTCCTTAAATTTTACATCTATCCAAAATGAAATATTATAAATGCATGAGTTTGTTATATGTGATATCATCCCGCTATTTCAAAAATTCACTTTTGACAATCAAAATTGAGTTTTTAGAGTCTTTGCTAGTTATACCTGGGTATTAATGAATATAATTACTTGTAGGGATTGAAACAGCATCTGGGAAACTGTACTTTAAAGATAACATAAGGAAAAAACTGATGGATTTCCAAAGTTATTGGTCCACTCTTAATGAAAACAAAACTCAATGGAATTTTCTCGGGTCTCTGTTTTTCTGTTGCACCGTTTTCTCAACTGTGGGTAAGTTATTTGCTTCTAAAATGATTAGATGAAGTAAAATGCAAATTTCACCAAGGAATGTTTTCAATTGGATTCTAGTTTAATTTTCAAATATGAGCGTGGTTCAGAGTTACACCAGGGTTTCTGAGGTACCTTTGTGTTGAGTTCCAGTTCATTATATTTGATCACGCCTTTATTCAAGCCATCCCAGTTTAAAATATACCAATTGTCTGGCAACATCTATAATTAGTTTGTTTTCAAAAAATTGCCTTTCTTTCCTTTCTAAATGATCACAGTTTTGCAGTTGCAGCCTGTATTGGCTGTGCTGATATAAATTCTGTGTAAAAGCTTTTAAAGAAACGAGCATGGGGATAATGTCATCATGATAGAAAATTTGGTGCATCTTACCAACATTAGATAAGATAACATACATGCCTTTAAAACTGATAAACAGGAAATTAATGGCAATTTTATAAACATCCTAATCAATCCACTTTGTTCTTAGCTTCATCCGTCAGTAAATGCAGACTGAAAATTGTTGGCAATGATGTTGGACATATGTTTAAAATGAAGTACCAAGTTCATCATTCTGTTGCTAACCAATGGTTAAAATATCAAAGAGGGGACTTTGGTAAAAATCACTGCAAATAAATGTGCTGACAGTGGTATTTGATCTGAGTTTTAATTGCCTTATTCAAGTTGTCCTGGTGTCTTGTTGGCTAAATGTACAATTTATTGTGCATATGAGATAATGCAGATCAATAGTTCACAGAGTCAATGTTAGTCGGTATTGAGTTAATTGATGTCAGATCAGGTGGTTTAGAAAGGCAAAGGTAGGTCTCGACTATTGAGAATAAGCATCAGTGATAGCTATCCAGTCATGTTTGTTGGAAGGTATGCATGGACCCTGAAAGGTGGTAGGAATGGCACAAGCTCTGATTAAATGATCTGCATTGCTCCTGCTAACATTCACTGTCTAGGATCATAACACAAACAGCTTTTGATTCAGCTAAAGTGGGGCATTCAACACAAAGATAACCGTACCGAAACGAGAATATATGTCTTTTGGAAGAGAGAATATGTTATTTTAATCACATTCCCATCTTACAAGGATGAATTTCTGAATACACAGTTCCAGTAGAGGGCTTCTAGTATCAGTAAAGTATATCAGAATGCAAGGGATATGCCACCCTTGGTTTTCAATTCATTAAAACTAAGGGCGGAGGTTTCCATTAAAAATGCAAATTTGAGAATGAAATAATTCTCAAGGGCAATTAAGATTGGGGTATAAATGTTGATCCTAAGCAATGACAGCCACACCCTGTGAACAAGTGTCTTCAAAATCCTTGTTCTGCAGCCATAAGATATGTGTTGGGTGTGTGTGAGCTGCAATTCTCATTATGTTGTGATTTCTTACAAAAAATAATTTTAGGGCGATTTAAATCCTTTTCATTGCTGTCTTTGAAATCACATAACCATATTTATGGAGACACACAATTATCAAATCAATACATGTTAATATGAATTCAACTTAAATTTGAAAGATCACAACTAAGGATAAAAGGTATAAAACAAAAAACTACGGATGCTGGAAAACTGAAACAAAAATTCTATCACAAAAAGAGAAATGGATGGAGAAACTCAGCAGGTCTGGCAGCGTCCATGAAGAGAGAAAGGACGTTAATGTTTTGAGTCCAGTTTAACTCTCCTTCGAGCTGAAAGGAACAGAAAAATGATTTTTTGTATGCTAAGGACAGAGGCAGAGGAGGAGCAAGTGGACATATTATGATGGTGTCCAGAGCAAAAGACAAAAGCAGTGATAATGGTAGTAAACAAGTGAAGGAGAATGTGAAATGTTAGCTATGAAAAGAAGAATATGAGCCCACTCTCCTGACAGCAAAGCCCACAAACAAGACACAGCCAGGGGAGGGTGGGGTGCTTAAGAAAACTGGAGTGCCGAGCTCACATTCTGAAGTTGTGGAAACCAACGTTGAGTCCTAGGGGCCATGAAGTGCCTAAACAGAAAATAAGGTGTCGTTCCTCTAGCTTGTCTTCAGTTTCATTGGAATACAGTAGCAGGCCAAGGACAGAATATTAGCATGGAAGCAAGAGGTTTATTGAACTGGCCACCAACTGAAATGCCAGGTTCATTCCTATGCACAGAGTGGAGGCATACCACAAAGCAGTCACAGAGTCTACATTTGGTAAAGGAAGCCACATTGTGAGCAGTGAATATTGTAGACTGGGTTTAACGAAGTGTAAGTGAAACACTGCTTCACCTGGAAGGTGTGCACGGGACTTTGGACAGTGAGGAGCGAGGAAGGTGAATGGACAAGTGTCAAACCTTATGAGATTGCATGGGAAGGAGCCATGGGGAAGTGAAGAAGTGTTAGGAGCAATGGAGGAGTGGACCAGAATATATTGATGGGATGGTCCCTGCAGAATGCTGACACTGGAGGGGAGGGGAAGATGTGTTTGGTAGTGGCTTCCTGCTGAAGATGAAAGAAGTAGGAGAAAATGATCCTTTGAATGTGAAGACCGATGGATCAGAAATTGAGGACAAGGGGAGCCCTATTGTTGTTCTGGGAAGGGAAGAGCAGAAGTGTGAGACTTGAGTTGGACATCGTTGAGGGTCTTTTCAACCATAATGATGAAGATATTATCTTGTGCAAAAATAGCAACTATCACTTTCCTGATACCAATGTGGACTGGAGCCTGGCTAATCCCTCCAGCAGACGAGTTTGAGAACTGTGGGGAAGCACATCTTGTTTTAATGAATAAGTTTACCACTGTTGGCACTATCTGAATGGGAATCTCTGTTAAGTCCCAGCTGGTCATTTCCTACTAAGATGGGCTAAGGTGATTTGTTATCTGTTGGCACGAGGATCTGGACGTTTTATTCTATAAGCAAACCCTGAAGGTTTAATTGCTATAAGTTATGAATAAAATCCAAATGACCTAATTATTAAAAGAAATTCACAACCGTTACCCGTATTAGAATAATGTTCTTAAAGGATAAAAATACAGAAAATGAAACGTTATGATACAAGCAGTGAGTTTTAGCCTTTCAATAGCTGAACAATATTATCAAACTTAAATTGGGCCTCTCATTTTCATGAACAATTGATACCATAAATTTAGGATTAAAATTAAATGAAAGGGGTAAAATAAACATAAAAGGATCAATGCGATGTGTCTTTTTTCCTTTTGAATGAAAAGCTTTCACCAGTAAGGCCAACAATTTCCTTTAATTCTTTTAAATTAATTTTTTGGTACATTTTGAGTAATAATAGACTTACTATCAGTTGCCAACCATTTTAAAAGACTTATATCATAAAGTCTTACAGAATTATCTCAAAACAAATCACAAAATGAATTACTTTGAACTGGCTGGTTAGTTTTAAGGAAGTAATGCCACTGTGTAGTTTAGAGGACAATCATGTAATTTCAGTACAGTATTTGACTTGACTCCCTCAACACTATGTCAACAATGCCAACACTATTTTCCAAAGGCTCAATGTAATATCCACGGAGGAGTCTCAAGGTTTGAAGAGGCTTTGACTTATGGAATTTTTCCCTTGATTTTGAACATGTCTGAACGTGTGCACATCAAAGTGAAGGATGTGAAAGAACATTCTGTCATTCATGTCAGCTATTCACTCACTGAATATAGAATTGGTTAGATATCCAGTGCAAGTTCACTCTGAGGGGGTTGTCCAGGAATACTTATCTATTGTTTATTGATGTCAACATGACATTTTTCTTTTCTATTCAGTCTCTATGGCCTGTCCGACTGGGACTGGCAATTTGGTAGCTATTTTGTAATAAGGACACATGCTGCCTAGTAATTAAAATTCATCCAATACCCTAACAAATATCAAAAGAGATTTTCAAACCATAAATGGGGTCTGATTTCAAGATCAGCACCTAAATGAAAAACACATTATACCGAGTATTGAATCATCAAAGTCAAATCCACATTTGCACTTAGTGTAATCTCTACATGCAGCAAGCAGTATTCTTTAGAAAGAGGATCTTCAAATATTATCATATGAAACCTTAATGCCTAATGTGAAATTCTTTTGTTAATTATTTTACTGGAGGCAGAGTAAAATCCCCTTAAAATGGACATGGAAAAATAATGTAGATGTATTTGGAATAATATTTGAAGAATCTAATTCTGAAAATTTTCTTGGCGGTCAAACGTGGTGGTCTTTCAGCTCAGCATTGCCTCAGCATGGACCTCGAGCCATGAGATGATTCCAGAGCAGTCTCCCGACCTCGAGGTAAAACTTGGCATGTTCCAGAGGCTACGTGCTGGTGTGGACTGCGTTGGAACGCTGTTATTGTGAACATTTTATTACATTTTTTTCTAATTTATTCCTATAATCTGTAATGCTGGACTCTTTCTTTCTTTAATTTCTTTTCCCCCTAAGAATTTGTACTTAATAATCTGTTCTTAAGATGGTGCCATAAATGACGATATGGAAACCTTTCACTGTACTCATTTGAGTACGATAAAGCTAATTCTAATCCTAAATTGAAAAAAGGTCTCATTACTTTAAATGAACGTTTTTTTTCTCTGACTTAAAGTCTCCACTTGATTTCATTATTTAAAAACTCTACAACTAATAAACAATGAAATTCCAATTAAATTTTTCGAAAGTAGAAAAATTAAACCCAAGGATCAGTAGCACAATGCAACATCCACTAAGTTCAGAAAGCATTTAGCATTTAGAAGCCTTTAGGAATCAACTAATGTCAACAAATGTATCAAACTGGAATGAGTTCTCTTAGTATTGCAAATTTCTGTCAAACTTTTTTTCCAATTATCTTTGTCAAAGTATGTTGTCACAGAATAGAAATTGATTTAAGTCTGTATTTGACTGCAGAATGGTCCACTTCTTATGGCCACCCAATCATGTGGAAACAATTAAGGCCTCACATTCATCCCCCTAATTAATTAAAAGCAAAACTGGAATCAATGAGTATCGGGGGCAAACTTTTCGGTAATTGGTGTC